GAAAGGCAGCAAAACATTTTTCTGGCCACACTAGGAACTAATCCTCCTATTTGTAACATTACAACCACGTGCAAAAGCACTCTTAGTTTGAACAATTTTAACAAACACACTTTTAAACGCAATCAACTTCTTACCACTGAGTCTATCCAAGGCAGGTGCACCAAAGTAAGTTTCAGAGAATAGAGGTTTTTTTGTCTGTGTCATCATTTGAAGAGTTAAGACCAAATCCCATTATAGGGGAAAGGAGAGAAAAGGAGTGGGAAATATCAGAGAGGGTGACAGAACATGAGACTCCTAACTCTGGGAAACGAACAAGGGGTAGTGGAAGGGGAGGTGGGTGAGGGGATGGGGTCACTGGGTGACAGGCACTGAGGGGGGGCACTTGATGGGATGAGCACTGTGTGTTATGCTATATGTTGGCAAATCGAACTCCAATAAAAAAATACACAAAAAAAAGGACTAAATCCCACCCATTTCACTTTGATAATTATGAATACATGAATGCACCCAGCTTGTGGGTCAAACATGTCATTAAGTAGCTACATCTATGTGGCCCCCTTATTCACACAGGGTCTCATGAGACAAATTAGTTTTCTCATCTATTAAAAGAGAGCATGGGTCAACCTCCTAAAAATAAAGTGATATTCCTCCTTTTGAGAATTCTAGAAAGCTGGTGGGCAAGCTGTTCTTCCGAGCCACGTCACCTGCCCATTTTTTATTTTCTTGCCTAATCTTAAATGTCTTTAACTTGTTTTCATGATCACAGTGTGCCAGCCTGGATATATCGATGTTACTGAAATCTTGATCCCATGAAGAGAAGAGATCTAAAGAGCCCATCCTGTTCAATGCCAACAACAAAGACATAGGCACAAAAGAAAATTTGTTCTCAAGAACAAATTTCTGTCCAAGATACTCTTTCAATTCCCCTAAATTACAGAAGGAAGAGTGCCTCTATCTGGTGCTCTGTTCTTGTTAACAAGGCATCGTCTCTGACAGTCTGACACCAACCAGAGCCCCTACTTTCCCTTCTATGTGGGGGTAGGCCCTGCTCCTTCAGGTGGGGTATGGATACGGTAAGAGGAAGGTGGCCCATGATAGCAAGCCTCTGAAAGAAGTAAATGCTTAATCATCAAACTTAAAGACTGCTGGGATTACGCTTCTGACTGTGACCTTTAACCTAACCGAATTTTCTCCTGGCTCTGCTCAGACATTCTCCTCACCTGCACACTGCCTGCTCAGCCCAGCCTGATGTGTTCTCTTCTTGGGCTGTTCACGTGAACAGCCTGACCTTTCTATTACTTCCTCCTGACCAAAACTCAAGCACCTACTGTACCTCACATATTTAAATTTCAGATCCCTCAACTAAGTGAAAATGCTATTCATCTCTACTATACAAAACTGCTCCTTAGCCAAAACAAACGGAAAGCACAATCAGAACAGGCAAAAAGATTAAAAAAAAAAAAAAAAAAACCCACCTTTAAGGTCCTTGGTCTGAGGATCCCTGGGTGGCTCAGTGGTTTAGCGCCTGCCTTCGGCCCGGGACATAATCCTGGAGTCCCGGGATTGAGTCCCACATCGGGTTCCCTGCATGGAGCCTGCTTCTCCCTCTGCCTGTGTCTCTGCCTCTCTCTCTCTCTCTCTCTTTCTGTGTCTCTCATGAATAAATACATAAAATCTTTAAAATAAATAAAGTCCTTGTTCTGCTCTGCAGCCCTCAGCAAAAAGCCCTGAGTCCTCAGATGATATTTTATGATATTTTATTATTTCCCTATTAAAGCTACTCTCCAAAAAACAGGGAAAAACAGAATCTCTCTATTTTCTTTTTTCCAACCACTCCTGGTGCACACTTTTGTGGAATCACTCCTAAATTTTCCCACTTAGCCTTTGAGAGGAACACAAACCCACAGCCCTAATACACACACTCTCATTTCTCTGCAAACACCCTTACACTCACGGTCTCCACACACTCATATTCACACTCTCTACACAATCTCCTCTCTTCCCACGAAAGAGCTCTCTTACAGGTACAGGAGAAAATAAAGCGCCCTAGGATACACAATGGAGCCACTGTGCTCTAAGGGTGAGCTTTCAGTGGGAGGAGTATCAGTATTATAAATAGAACTAAAGAGGGAAACCTTTTCTCCCTTGGATCTCTCTGATCTTTCTTCCTGGACCTGGAAGGGGTATAAATTCCAGACCCTGGGGCTCCTCTGACTTGGGAGGGGTGGAGGTTGTGAAGGAAACCAATCAGAAAAGGCAAACTGGGCTCTGGCTAGAGGGAAATGTGGGGCTCCAGCCGCATGTGAGGTAGAGCCCAGCTCACCAGCGTAGGAAACAACTGGAGCTAAAGCCTCAGCTAATACAGAAGGGCATGTGATTTGTCTGTGGTTTACCTCAAACACTTCTTATGGGTGGCAGCAGCCACTTCAGATGGCCGGTATGGATCTCAGTCTTTTCTCTGCAGGACATCCTCAGGCTTCTTCCTAGCCCTCTCTGGTAGTAAAATCTAAATACATGCCTCCAAAGTTGATCTTCTAATCAAAGCTTTAAACAACAACCACCACCATCACTGCATCCTGTGATTGCCTCCATAAAATAAACCACGCACATTTCCACGATGCCAGGCCAATAGGGCAATATGCCACTATTATACCCTCCCTTATAACCCAAAGCATACAAAATAAAGACTAGCACAAATGTCTGACTGCCTCAGTTACTGCCTAAGTATGCAAAAGCATCCAACTGAAAAAAAAAAAAAAAAAAAAAAAAAAAGCCAGGCAATCATGGATGTTAAAGGAAACGGGCTACTTTTCTATTCTGGGAAAAACACCTGACAGAAAAGAACATGCCCCAGAGTAGATGGAAATGAAGTGCCTTGCTCCTACAGCACTCGAAGAAGGAAATGTGACTGACAGAAATCCCCATTCTAGTCAGGCTAGAGGCTGAGCTTTTTAAATCTTGCTTCTCAACTACATCAGAACCACTGGAAGCATAAAACAGACAGACATAAACAGACCACTGGACCTTCCAGCCCAGGCCTACTGAACCAGAATCTCTATGCTAAGGCCCAGATATCTATATTTTCAAGTTCCCCAGGTGATCTAATCCACACACTTGGTTAAGAACCACTGTATGAATGGATTTAAAACAAAAAACTATCGCTCAACCAAGAAAACTACAAGTAGACCACACAAACTCAGGCTTCCGTTTCCTCATTTCCTATCTGAAATGAAACGGTTAAAGCAGAGGAGTAGTTGAACTACGTTAGTGGTAGCAAGGGAGTGGCAGCCAAGAAACCCTCTTTTAAAAGGGAATTTTACTGTGGAAACCCAAGATTAAAACAAAAGCAGAACTGCTTCACAAGGAGGAAGGGAGTTGGGATTCTTCCCTCTCAGCCCCAGGTCACCTCAACAGAGACACCAAAGGCTTCACAGAGCACAAGATGGTCTCTCAGATACAGCTGCAGCTTTCAGACCGTTTGACCTTCCAAAACAAGATCTAGATCTAGTCCACAGTTTAAGCAACAAAGGACCGAATATTCCCCCCCACACCCCATGAGTCCCTTACAAACTGTATGAGAAACATCCCCTTTTCTAATTACATATTTACTTGCTTCTGTCTAACCTTCTATTTAGAAAAACAAGTGTTATTACCATTCTCCCCCACCTAAATCACCACTAATTCAACCACCCCCCACCCCCCACTCCCGTCTAAAGGAAAAGCTTTAAAGCTCAGAAAAGCAGCCTGGATTTAAGACACCCAATGCATACTAGAGGTAGCCCCAGAGACAGAAGAAGGAAAATGGGACCAGGGAGGAGCACAAAAGGGACTCCAACTGCGTCTTTGGAGAGAAAAAGGAAAAGAGTTGAAGACTAAGACTTGTAAGTTCAGGAATATGAGGACATTTGTTGTATTGTTCTCTGGACCTTCCTAGAGCCTTTTTTAAGATTTTCAGAATTAACCAAAGCAAACAAAAATACTGTTTATCAGAACCATTTGAAACATCCTTGAATTTTTTATAATTTTTTTTATTTTTTTTATGATAGAGACAGAGGAGAGAGGCAGAGACATAGGCAGAGGGAGAAGCAGGCTCCATGCACCGGGAGCCCGACGTGGGATTCGATCCTGGGTCTCCAGGATCGTGCCCTGGGCCGAAGGCAGGCGCCAATCCGCTGCGCCACCCAGGGATCCCACATCCTTGAATTTCATTAGACTTCGATCACAAATACCTTTCATTAACCCATACTGGCCTTTTCCACCAAAGTTCACACACAGGAAACAGGATCTGTAATTACAGCTATCTGCCCTGGGGTCTTGCAAAAGAACACAGGCAACAAAACAGAAGAAATGAACCACAGATAGCAAATTGACACTCTAGGAATAAGACTATGAGGTCTTGGGGCATTTGGAAAAGGAAAACTGCCCTTATACATTCACTTCACAAGGAATGTGGAGGATGCCGGCTTTGGTAAACTTTGAGCATTGCCAAATGGATGGGCCCATTCCCAGATGGCTACCAAGAGGGAAATGAATCCAATTTGTATGTAAATCAAAAACAGTGGAGAATTAGTGAAACATTAAGACCAAGAACTTCAAACTTCAAAAATGCTATTTCTGGGGTGCCTGGCTGACTTAGTCAAAAAACATGTGACTCTTGAGCCCCAAGATGGGTGTGGATCCCATTAAAAAAAAGGGGGGGGGCTTGAAAAAATAACAAAACTGCTATTTCTCCCCTACAGCTGGTAGTGCCCAAAACAAGCATCGTGAGCACAAAACCAAACAACACAAATCTAGAAATTTTTCAGAATACTTAAGTGCCCATCAGAGAGTTTCACAATAAACCACCATCAAGGCTACTTGCTCCCATGAATAAAAATACCCTACCTATACTTAATCCTTCAAACTACCAGCCTCCTACCTTCACACACAACAGATTCAAAGAGATCTTTATCTGTATTCACACCCTAACAGCTCCCTCCTTCCAGCCCACCAATCTTTACCTCTTTGCTTCTTCCAAATGACAAAGGTACTCATAAGCCACATTCTGACGTCTCCTCTCATCCATCTCCTCTGCGGTGAGTCTCTCATTATCCAGGACAGCTAAAACATGAAAGAAAGAATGCAAACACAAAAATCTGTAACCATTCTGAGTGATAAAAGAATGCCACAGCATCAAATTCCAGTTAGTAACCTGGAGAGGCAGGGTAACCTGTGGACGTGTGGACAGCCAGATGCACAACAATGGCTTTCCTAAAACAGGAACTATAGGGTTTCTTTTTTTTTTTTTTTTTTTTTTTTTTTTTTTAGTTTTTATTTATTTATGATAGTCACACAGAGAGAGGCAGAGACATAGGCAGAGGGAGGAGCAGGCTCCATGCACCAGGAGCCCGACGTGGGTCTCCAGGATTGCGCCCTGGGCCAAAGGCGGGCGCTAAATCACTGTGCCACCCAGGGATCCCAACTATAGGGTTTCAACTACCCTATAGGTAGTAGGTTTTGTTCTACCTTTTTCTTAAAGATAATATAAAGGGATCCCCGGGTGGCGCAGCGGTTTGGTGCCTGCCTTTGGCCCGGGGCGCGATCCTGGAGACCCGGGATCGAGTCCCATATAGGGCTCCCGGTGCATGAAGCATGGAGCCTGTATGTCCCTGCCTCTCTCTCTCTCTCTCTCTCTCTCTCTCTCTCTCTGTGACTATCATAAATAAATAAATTTAAAAAAAAAGATAATATAAACATGTACTAAATTTTATTGTACCCTGAAAAATCCTGAGTTGAGATTTTGGCCCAAATGTGTTCTGGTCTGCCAGGCTCTCTCTATATATGGAGCTGATCAGGTTTACCCTTTGTTTTTTTTTTTTTTTTTTTTTTTTTTGATTGATGAGAGGCAGAGAGAGAGGAGTAGAGACATAGGCAGAAGGGGAGACATCAAGCTCCCTGTGGGGAGCTTGCTATGGGACTTGATCCCAGGACCCCAGGATCACGACCTGAGCCAAGGGCAGATGTTCAACCACAGAGCCATCCAGGGGCCCCATGTTTTCCCTTTTTTATTAATAACCAAAGCCAGCAGTCATTGAGAACTAAGTGGCAGTTAACTGTGCGGTGAAGCATTTTACTTGCATCCTCTCCCTGAAGCCCCACAACAATCCTGTGATTATCACACCCATTTTACAGATGAGGAAACAGCCCCGGGAGATCTGAACTCCACCACTATTGAGTCCTCAGACCTGGATTCAAACCCAAGCACTCTGTCTCAGTCTGTGCCCTTCATGGGCACCCAGGGGTATGGCAGGAACTCCTCATTCCTTGGGATGGCATTCAAGGCCTTTCCCAGTTTGGCTGCCTTCTCCCTTGCCCCTCCTCCTCCCACTACGCCCTTCTACTCTTCAGTACCTTAATTCTTGCTCTTTCCTCAAGTTTCCTCTCCGACCCCACCCTGCCCAGTCAAACTTTACCTCCTTCAAGGCTCCGTTGAAACGTGGCTGTGTCCTCATTGGCTTCCCCCAACCCCTCCTCCTCACCCACCCTACTGCTTCTGCCTGGCTGGCTCAGCAGCTTTTATCTTTATTACACCTTACTATCATTAGGTCGTACACCTGTCTCTCCCTCTCTCTGATTAAAACGTTCTTGGAAGGCAGGGCCCAGTCTTACTCATTTTTCAAATTTCACAAAGTGACACAGCACCGCACACATAACTGTTGAGTGAAATGATCCTAAACACGGGCCATTATCCCCAGGATATAAAACGAAAACGGGATTCAGGATTCCCAGGGACTCTCCTTGGGCCCGGGGTAGAGCTCTCCCGCCTGCAGTTCAATGACGTCCCATGGACAGCTACAGAAAATGAGGTTCGGAAAATGAGGAAGTCCTAGGGTTTGGGGTTAGGTTTTTCCTTTTTTTTCTTGTTTTTTGTTTTAATTTTTGCAATCTTGAGGCGGGAACTAAGCCCGAGAGCCTAAGTGGCCCGCCCGGGGCCGCCCCTCTCCGCTGCCCTGCGGCGGGCGGGTCCGCACCCCCGGCCCGCCGCGCCGCGCCGCCTCCTCTCTAAGCGCGAGCGGAGCCCGGGTCTCCGGGACACGCCCTGCCCCGGCCTCCTGCCACCTCACCCGAGGCCGGCCCCCCCAACCCCAAATCTCGGCGGCGCCGGGAAGCGGGAGGCATGGGTGGGGCCCCCGGGTCGCGACGCCCGCGCCCTGGCGAGGAGGCCGCCTGCGTCGTCGCCGCCGCCTCGGAGACCCGGCTGGGCGCCCCGCCGCCCGCCACCTCCCCCGCCGGCCGCCGCCCGGCCAGGCCGGCTCTTCCGGGTCCGCGCGGCCCGCAGCCACCCCGCCGGCCCGCGCCCCCGGGAGAACGGCTCCCCGGAGGCAGCGAGCCCGACCCCGAAGCCCCGGCGCCGCAGAGCCCCCGCACTCACAGCCATAGTGCGGTCGGGCCACGCCCAGCCCGTCAACCTCGTCCGCGGCGGACATGGCGGCCGAGCCCCGGTCTCTGTGAGGAAGCGGCGAGACCTTGAAGGCGCGGACGGCGGCAGCTGCAGCTCCTGCAGAGTGCGCGGGAGGCCAGCTCCCCGAGGCCCCGCCCCCGCGACCCCACCCGCGGGCCCCGCCCTGCCGCGCCGCCGGGAGCGGGAGTGGAGGGGGCGGGGCCCGTGCCGGCCACGCCCCTGGTCCAGCCCCCGATGAGCCACGCCCTCAGGAGGCGGAAGGAAGGAGGCGGGCCCGCCGGCCCCGCAGCCCCCGGTCCTCTGCGCTCGGCCGGGAAGACCGCCTCCGCCCTGGAGCCCAGCCCTGCCGGCCGCGCCCCAGTGGCAAGTCTGGGGCGGAAAAAAAGCGGCGTGAGCCTAAACCAGAGAGGAGGTTGCACAGAAGAAAAAGGTATTCCAGAAGAAAGAAGAATTTAGGAGCCCAGGATTAAATTCAGCATGAAATAAATGCACGTAAATGTTTTTAAAAGGCTTGAAATAAAAAGCACGGGCCCCCTCTTTCCTCCTGCCTACCGAGCTAAAATCCTCTGCACGAAAGCGCTCAAGGAAGGCGTCCTTTGCAGTGGCCCCAAGTCTTCTTGTGGGACCCAAGCAGGACTCAGACTGCTGTAAGGGATGCCCGGCCATAAGGGCTGCAAGCTGGCCTCGTCCCCTCCCAGATTCGCCCGCAAGCGCCAGATTGGAACCGCTCAGCCCCCTCCTATTGAAGAAGTGGTCGCTAAAGCGGAGAACTGTCCAAGCTTCCTTCCCTTGGTTTCCCTGCCTCTGTTCTTTGCAAGTTCTTCTCTTTATTAAGGAGATTCTTTGCCTTTTTAGGGATGCCCCTTCCCCTTGCAGCTTGCGGCATCCCTTCAAATACTGGTATTCTACAGAATTCTGTCCTTAACCCCTTCCGTTTTTCCTTTGCCCATTCTTTCTTGGTATTTTTATTTATTTCTGCTCACCTTAAGCTGCGGAAGAGCTGTAAGGGTACATCTCCAGACCAAACTCTAGAAGACTTGACTCAGTATTTTCAGCTGTGTAATGGGCATTTTCACCTGTAGATCCTGCAGACACTTCGAATATAAAGTGTTGAACACTGACTGTTCTGCTATCTTCTCTGTTAGTAGAAGTGCTCGTTGATGGTCAGGACACCCCCAGGCTCCCGGCCTCAGGCCCTACATCCAGTTTATTCTGAAGTGCATTGCTTTTGTCTCTCTCCTCTCTGTCATACTGCTTAGACAGTCACCAATCTAGTCTCTCTTCTGCAGCCAGCTCCTCACTGTCACTGTCCTGTGTTCTTCCTAAAGGGCAAATGACCTTGTATTCTTCCTTTTTACATTGCTTCCCAATTATCCCCTTCAGAATATGGTCCAAGTTCCTCGGCACGACAAATAAGCCCCTTCGCAGTAAGACTCCATACTTTTTTTCTTTTTTTCTTTTTTTTTTTTTTAGTAGGCTCTACCCTCAACCTGGGGCTTGAACTTACTACCCCTCTGAGATCATGCTCTACAGACAGCCAGCTAGGCACCCCCTGACTGGAGGCTTTTTGCTCTAGCCATTTGCAATCTATTCACTCTTTCTTCAAAATATTGAAGTGAGAATCTTGAAAACCTAGAAAAAAAAAACACCTTTCATTAAAACACAGGCAAAGGGGATCCCTGGGTGGCGCAGCGGTTTAGCGCCTGCCTTTGGCCCAGGGCGTGATCCTGGAGACGCGGGATCGAATCCCACGTCGGGCTCCCGGTGCATGGGGCCTGCTTCTCCCTCTGCCTATGTCTCTGTCTCTGCCTCTCTCTCTGTGTGACTATCATAAATAAATAAAGTTTAAAAAAAAAAAAAACACAGGCAAAGGTTTGCGGTGTATGGGTGACTCAGTGGGTTAAGCTCAAATCTTGATTTTGACTCAGGTTATGATCTCAGGGTTGTCAGATGGAGCTCCCACACCTTCCCACCCCATACTGGCATGCACATATGTTCTCTCTCAATAAATAAATAAATAAATAAATAAATAAATAAATAAATAAATAAATAAATAAATAAGAAAAACAGGCAAAGATTTAATTAAATCTTTAATAAATTTATTAAAATTCAAAAGTTAGGGATCCCTGGGTGGCGCAGCGGTTTGGCGCCTGCCTTTGGCCCAGGGCGCGATCCTGGAGACTAGGGATCGAATCCCCCATCGGGCTCCCGGTGCATGGAGCCTGCTTCTCCCTCTGCCTGTGTCTCTGCCTCTCTCTCTCTCTCTCTCTCTCTCTCTGTGACTATCATAAATAAATAAATTGAAAAAAAATAAAATTCAAAAGTTAGTTCTTAAATGGTTAAGTTCAGCTTAGAAATTTTATTATTCTACACCTAGCATATTTTACCACTTTCAGAAACTGAATAATTTTTGGTCCCATTCACAAACTTAGTTAATTCAACATCTCGAAGCATTTAAAATTATGCCTATAAACTTACTTTATTAGATTTTCTTTATTTTTTTTATTTTTATTTATTTATGATAGTCACAGAGAGAGAGAGAGAGAGAGAGGGGGGCAGGGCAGAGGGAGAAGCAGGCTCCATGCACCAGGAGCCCGACGTGGGATTCGATCCTGGGTCTCCAGGATCGCGCCCGGGGCCAAAGGCAGGCGCTAAACCGCTGTGCCACCCAGGGATCCCACTTTACTAGATTTTCTATTCAATTTCTTCAACTATCTAACCTAAAACTTTTCAGGGCTTAGCAATCTTTATAGATCAAACTTACAAATAAATGAATCTAAATTTATCTTAGATGACCCAGTTCCATGTGCAAAATTAGTAGGGTTTCAATTCTAAATCTTAAGTCTAAAACTAACTCAATTATACATATGAAGCTGCCACTCTAATGAGCCAAATTTTCTTAAACATTGCAAGTGCAGGGGTACATGGCTGACTTAGGTGGTAGAGCATGAGATTCTTTTTTTTTTTTTTTTTTTTTTTTAGATTTTATTTATTTGACAGAGCACAAGCAGAGGAAGAGGGAGAAGCAGGCTCCCCACTGAGCAGGGAGCCTGATGTGGGGCTCTATCCCAGATCCCTGGGATCATGAACTGAGCCAAAGGCAGACACTTAACTGACTGAGCCACCCAGGTGCCCTAGATTCTTGACCTTGGGATCATGAGTTCAAGCCCCATGTTGGGGGTGGCAATTACATTGAAAAGTTTAAAAATCTTAAAAAAAAAATTGCAAGTGCACAAAATGTGAAATATGCACATATTTCTTCTTAATTCCAACATATTAATTTCATAATTTTTACCCCATTAAGCTCTTCTTTATTTAATTTTAAAGCTTCTCTGAATTGAAAGGTATAGACACTTGCTAAGAAAGTTCCAACCTAGTTAATTCAAATTAATTTTTTTTTAAGTTTGTATTTATTTATTCATGAGAGACACAGAGGCAAAGACATAGACAGAGGGAGAAGCAGGGAACCTGATGTGGGACTTGATCTCAAGACCCTGGGATCATGCCCTGAGTCAAAGGCAGATGCTCAACCACTCAGCCACCCAGGAGTCCCAAGATTACTTTTGATCAGAGGTTTCCACCAGACATAACTCCTGGAGCTGCAAGCTTTCAGAACCATTTTTCTCACTGTGCTGTCATTTTGAGCTTCTTTTCATATTATGTCATAGATTGCAAAACTTGTTATCTATTCCTCTGACTACACTTAGAAATCCTCAAGTCGGGGCAGCCCCGGTGGTGCAGCGGTTTAGCGCTGCCTGCAGCCCAGGGCGTGATCCTGGAAGACTTGGGATCAAGTCCCACGTCAGGCTCCTGCATGGAGCCTGCTTCTCCCTCTGCCTGTGTCTCTGCCTCTCTCTCTCTCTCTTTCATGAATAAAATAAAATAAAATAAAATAAAATAAAATAAAATAAAATAAACAAAAACATCTGCTTTAAAAAAAAAAAAAAGAAGGGGATCCCTGGGTGGCTCAGCGGTTTCGCGCCTGCCTTTGGCCCAGGGCGTGATCCTGGAGTCCCGGGATCGAGTCCCACGTCGGGCTCCCGGCATGGAACCTGCTTCTCCCTCTGCCTGTGTCTCTGCCTCTCTCTCTCTATGTCTATCATAAATTTAAAAAATAAATATTAAAAAAAAGAAATCCTCAAGTCCCACCTGGTTTATCTTTTTTTTTTTTTAAAGATTGTATTTATTTATTCATGAGAGACAGAGAGAGAGGCAGAGACACAGGCAGAGGGAGAAGCAGGCTCCATGCAGGGTGCCTGATGTGGGACTCGATCCCCGGTTTCCAGGATCACACCCCAAGCTGAAGGTGGTGCTAAACTGCTGAGCCACCCAGGCTGCCCCTAGTTTATCTTTTGATTTGATTTTATATTTCTTGGCTTTTAAAATAAATACATATGTTTTTATTTTAGTTCTAAAGACCTTTGTAATGGATGGAATCCAAATACATAAATGTTTTTTCTAATGATAAAAGTTATAACACTAGTGGATTCATGCATTTTTTTTAAGTAAACTCTAGATTCAAGATCCAAGTGCAGCTTAAACTTGTGACCCCAAGATCAAGACTTGCATGCTCTATGCAGTGAACCACACAGGCATCCCTCATGCATTCTTCCTTATTCCTAGAACGATGCAATTCTAACTGATACTTAAATCAATATCCCATTGAATTTCAGATATCTCACATAGCTTTATCTGATGGTCACAAATTAAGTCATTGTTCATAATTATAATAGCTGAAGACTTTACTAGACTAAGTATTTTGTATTTATTTTCTCATCTGAATCTCATAATAACTCTACAAAATAAGAACTATCAGGGGTGCCCGGCTGGCTCAGTTAGTAGAGTAGAACTTACTTTAAAAAAAAAAAAAGAAGAAGAAGGAGAAGGAGGAGGAGACGAGGAAGAAGAGAAAGAGGGGGAGGAGAAGGAAGAAGAGACAGAGGGAGAGGAGGAGGAGAAAGAGGAAGAAGAAGAAGAGGAGGAAGTAGGAGGAGGACGAGGAGGACTGGGGGCTCCTGGGTGGCTCAGTCGATTTAGTGTCTAGCTCTTGATCTCAGCTCAGGGCACAATCTCAGGGTGGTGAGATGAAGCCTAGCCTTGGGCTCTAAGCTAAGCATGGAGCCT